TGTTGGTCATGATCATAACACACAGGTGATAATGAGTATGGCTGATCTAAAAAGCAAGTTGAAACACACCAAATATCCATGAACAAGCTTTATCCCAGCAGGCGTAAGGATGATCAACAACAGCAACGAATCCTAACCCCTAGAATCAGTGCTTCCCAAGAGTGTCTGAGGGCCTGTGCTCTAACAGTAAAGAAAAGAAGGGGCTTCTGGGACAGTGCTTGTTACCATTGCACGGGGAAGAGAACAGCACAGGCCACTGTTGATTGTTGCTTGCTCATTTATGCATTCCAGGTAAGAAGTGGGCTGAGAACAAACAGGCTTTTACTGAGGTGCTTTGTTACAATTATGGTAATAAGAAGTCTGCATTAGGTCAGAGTCACCTAAGTGACTGCCTGCGTCTCAGGCCTGGGCTAAATAACTTTGTAAACTCATTTCAGTTATCAATGTGACATTTTAAGTCCTTTCTCAGAATAATAAAAAGGCAAACTGAATGGCAATCTCAAAACTGAAATGTTCAAACTGCAATTCATTTTTAACCCACAAACTCCAGGTTGTGCAATGTTTACATTATCAAAGTAACAAGGAGGCTTGTGAGTCACAGCACATAAAATGCTTCCCTAGCATTAAAATAGGCCCTTGATCTGCTGCTGCATGAAGAGAGCTCGGGTACACTCAGTTGCCGGGGGTCGGAGGAGCCAGGGGAGACTAGGACATGCAGTTCAAGAGGAAGACACTGCTATCACCTCCTGTCATCCCTCCCACTGCAGTCGGCACTCACCAACTGTCTACAGCCTTTGCCATCCCCACCAGTACGGGTGACCAGTGAACACAGTTTCTCAGAGCTTTGTCATATAGGGGAAGAGCCTCTAGCAAAATCACTAACAGAGCTTCATGGTTACAGTTTATCTCTGCAAGTACTGCCATTTTATGAAGAAGGAAGTTCAAAAATGTAAAAGAAAAATATTTTCTGAAAGTCCCAGTGACCCCTCGTAGCTGCCCCAATGGTAGCTACAGAAACCCACACTAGACTCCAAGCTCCTGACGGGCAGGAGCTCTGTCTGATTCGTTTGGTGTCCGAAGCCTCTACACTGCGCCTGACATTAAACAATGCCCAGTAAGTATTTGTTGAACTGAACTTGTCTCTGTTCTTTGAATTTCTGCCCATCCCCTGAGATCCTACTTGTTAACAAATGACTAATGGTCAAAGAGATTTTAAAAGAGATGGAAAAAAAAGAAAATGCACCTGGTGTAATAAAAATGCAGTGAATGTTATTTTTTGAAAACACATTGTCATTAATCTTCTTCAGACTACCCCTAAGCACTTCAAACAGTCTATCTCACTGTTTCTGCCACTTTCTGAAGGTCTGAGTTGCACTTCAAGGCTGCCTTGGTGTCCTAAATTGATTCAAAAGTTTGACCTTGCCTGGTCATTTTGCTTAGAGAGAAGAGTCAGAAGTCACGTGGTGTCGGATCCAGTGAATAAGGCAGATGAGGATACACCAAAATGTTTTTCTTTGACAGAATTTGCCATACCAGAAGTACACACCGAGTGACACAGTGTTGACATGATGGAAGATGGAACAAGTTTGCCCATTTTACAGGCCATTTTCTGTGCACTTCATTTCTTTAATGCTCTGATAGTCTTCAGAATTCACCATAGGATTCCTTGGTACAAACTCAACTAGCACAATTCTACCAAAGCTAAATAAGAGAAAAGAAAAGAACAGATAAGAAAAGAAACAGCAACGCAAAGCCAACATCACCTTGATGCCAGACACTGACTGATGTACTTCTCAGAACTGGATGCTTACCACTGAGAACTCTTTCCTATCCTGTGATGATGTCTCTTAAAAATCTGGAATTTGAAACAGCACAATGGGGCAATTCTAATGAAACTGACAAAGTGTTATGTTAATGCATTCTTCACAATTCATGATTCAAAACATGCCTTCAACCAAAGCTCACAACCTGCCAGCTTATCACTGTTAACTGAAGTTCAGCACGCAGCTCCTCCTCGTGAAGATCCCTGCCTTTCCACTGGCTGGCGCTCGGCAGCAGCATTCACTGTATTTTTTTGATCACACCACAAAATTGCAGGCTAATTGTGAGATCCAGCTTCTGAGAACACATGCATTCAATTATGTTACTGAAAACTTAGAAAATCTGACAAACTGAAAGATGATATTGTGAATGATGTAGAGACTGGTAGGAAATATACTGGAAATTTTTATATCAGAACAAAACTTTAGGACTTCAGCAAGATGCCATTAAACTGAAAACATCGAGCTTGGGGTGGGAGGAGGGGTATGGAGGGAGTTAAGATGTGTCATGGAGCTGGACCGGCTCCCCACAATGAGTGCAGTCAGTGCGTCCTGCAAGCATGTGCCAGTAAAAAACAGAGTGGTAAACTGGAAGCAATGTGAACACGATTTTGTTTCCAGCTTTTTATATGAAAATTTCAAATATTAACAAAAGTTTAGAAAATAAGTCAGTGCACCTGCCTCTGTGCGTCATCCAGAGTCAACCAACCTTACTTTCTCTATCTCATCTTTGTTATTTCTTTATTTATGGTATTTTATAATAAGCACAGAGATAGCATTTTATCCATAAATCCCTAACAAGATAGTTTAAAATGTAAACATAATACCATTACCTAATGAAAGTAATAATGTTTAGCCTCAGATAATATCCAGTCAATGTAGATTATCCACAAGCTATTTCAAATTTTTTTTTCAAAAAATTTTAAGGGTCAGTCAACCAAAAGAAGATCAAAACAAGGTCTGTGTTCATACATACATTGTATTATATGCCTCTCATCTCCTTTATATCAATTTTTCTTTCTCATTGTGTGTGTGTGTGTGTGTGTGTGTGTGTGTCTCTCTGTGTGTGTATGTGGTGCTGAAGAACCCATGATTTTGCACAGCTTCTCACACTAAGCAAGCACTCTACCATTAGACCACATCGTCAGTCTTTCTCTCCCTATTTTTTATGACATGTTTCTGGAGGAAACTGACTTTTCTGTTGCTTCCCATTTTCTCCCTGACTGTAGCCCCATGGTGGCATAAATCATGTTCTCTCACTCTCTGGATTCCCTGTAAGCTGGCCGTAAGATCTGAAGACCTGATCACAAGCAGATTCACATCCCCCCCCCAATTCCTCCTAAAGCCTTCTTAAATCTTTTCCATAAAGAATAACGCATTAGACGACCCTGAGGAAAGACATCTCTGTCTTTCCTTTGATTGAGAGGCCTGACCTCCCTGTTAGGAAGCTCCCTGCCAGCTTCTCACTGAGTGGTTTTAGCAGCTAATGGTTCATGGTTGCCACGTAGACCTGTGAGCCCATTTGGTGCAGCCAGTATGCTTCTGTAACCACCAACTGAAAAGTCCTTCACTTTAGAAAGTATTTTTATTTCAATGCATACAATTCTTTACCTTTGACTCATGGGGTCCTGTTCTGAGGTGAGTTCATGAACAACAATATAGGAATCCAAGCAGCCAAACTGACAAATTTGGAATTTAATTAGCTGAGCTCGGGACCACTTGTATACAGACCACCCCCAACCCCGTTTCAGAGTCCAAGCAAGTGGCCCCAAACTGGAAAGTTACAGAGTTTTTAAAAGAGAGAATCACAAAAGACATCCTGTTGGAAGCAGTTTAGCTCAAATCTTTCATTAATTTTCAGTTGACACCTGTATCCTGCTTCTTTTGTTGAGCAGGTTAATTTTTCTCTTGTAGGTACAGCTCGTTCTGCTTTTCTCATGGGATGTATACCCGGAGTAATATTCCATTTTCCTGAATACAGGGCACTAACTAAATGCAGGGCTCAAGATGGCATCGGTTATGCCAAGCTACAACAGTTCAAACCGGGTCCTATGTTAGTATCACTGACTGGTCTCTAATGGCTTCCTTGCTTGTGACATGAATGTCTCTGTCTCAGTCCCGTGCTTTGCCAGGTACACTTCTTACCCTGGCCCTGAGATCAGCCCTTTCTCCAAGGTACTGTTTCATTTTTGAAAATGTTATGTAGAAAAGACAAATTCCCCCGGATTCTTACGACTTCCAGACCCCATCAGTGGACAAAGCTGAAGGTACATACTTTTAGGAAAAAATATGTGATTAATTACAATATTTCAGATTTAAAGTTAGTAATATTATTATCTGCAACAGCATGTATGTAAGTATTAGTTGTCAACAAGTAGGATATTTTCAGCAAAAAAAACTACTGAGTACTCCACAGTGTTATAAAAAAAAATGGTGAATTAAACTTTTAGGGTGTTGTGGCACATGTCTGTAATCCCAGCACTTGGGAGGCTGAGACAGAAGGGTCCTTGCAAGTTCAAAACTGGCTACAAAGTGAGCTCGAGGTCAACCTAAACTGTATAGTGAGACTCTGTCTCAAAAAGACAAAAACAAACAAACATAGCTGATTATCAGTCTTACCATTCTTTGGGCCAAGGATTTAGCTCAGAAGCCTAAGTGCCTGCCTGGCAAACACATGGTTGTGAGTTTGATTGCCATTACCAAAATAAATAAACAAAAAAAAATTATTACAGTAAAAAATGTATTGCTGGGCCAGGGGTTTAGCTCAGTGGCGTAAGTGCCTGCTTGGCAAATGCAGTCTGGAGTTCAATCCCTGGTACAAAAAAAACAACACACATTGCAGTAGTCCCCCATCACTACGCTCAGAGAATATAATTCAATCACTACATAATCAATTTTCCATAGATGTGTAGCATTTTCAATATGACATACTTTGATTTTTACCATCTGCTAGTCCTCAAAGTTAAGGAGCAAAATATAGTTTTATTTTACCAAAAACCAAGACATTTGCTTCAAGCATGCTCTGTGTCTGCCTGGGAACACAGAATTGAGGCACTGTTCCATCAACACAATGGATCACTCAGCCTTTTCTAGAGGAAACCCTTCTCATTGGTTGCCTCTCTCAGCTACTTTCTGGGAAGGTCAGATTTGTTTAAATTACGTAAAACTCTGGATCTTAGCCATATTCTTTAAGAGTTCAAAAGTACAAAGCTGTGTAGGAAGTTTGCTCTTTTTAAATATTTTTTCAGAGGTTAAAAATCAAATTTCACAAGACTTCCTGGGGTGGACGGTCTCTTGCAGGGACGCAGACCTGATCACTTCCAGCATGAAGTGCACTCATGTTGTTCTGTTATTTCTATGTTTCTGCTTCAGTTCCTGCGAGGTAAGTAATGCGATCTTCATGCAAACTACACTAAGTAGATATCTTAAAGACTATTTTAAAATGGATAAGACCTTAATAGATATGATTTATATTTACTATTACATAGTTCAGTGATCAAGAATATAGTAGATCACAATATGTATCGTATGTAAGTATTCTGATTTAAATGTTTTAAGAAAGAAGTTGTTTTTATATGCTTGTGTGTGTGCACAGACATTGACTGGAACAAGAATTTTACTATGTGAGGTTGTAATTCACTGTCACATTAAGTCTGTAAACATTTACCAAGTTCCTTCTGAGTGCTGAGAAAACAGTAAGACCGCAGCCTCTGGCAGGCATTTGCTAAACCTGTAAGAAGGTGATAGCTGTATGTCACTGGGGGAGTCATGATCAAGGGAGGGAATATTAGAAACCGTGCAGACGCTCCTGACTCAGGGAGGAGTCTTTTCTGATAAACCCTTCATAGATTGAAGAGATCAGAAATCAAAACAACTGAATGTCCAGCCTGCAGCAGTGTGAGTGCTTTGTGCAGTTTACTGAACACTGCTGAAAGAGACAAGCATTTCAAGGACCATACAAAACACAGTATCCAACCATGCTGGCAGTGACACTGTATGGCTTGCAGAGCTGTTTATCCTCGCAGTCTGCGGTCAAGTTAGGAGCTCGGCTCCCCGCCGATGCCCTGCTTTGTGAGCCTTCTGACACACATCACCAGCCCAAAGGATGACCTGATGCAAAGTATCTGGTGGTGAATGGCTTTCACCCCTCATAAAGCCCCAAACTCAAGCACTGAGCCTTCTGTATACATTTGGTTGCCAAAAATGGTACAAGTAAAGGACTGTAATGAGCGAACAAATCACCTAATGCTGAGAGGTCAGGAAGAGATTATGGATTAAGTGGGGTTTGCACTGAACCTATAATTCTAGATTAGAGTTGATCTTTGGTGAGAAGGAGGAATGCCTCCCCAGCCTTCCAGCCAGGGAAAGCACCAAGCTCAGACATAGACAAACAGACTGGGCTCCCCCAATCAGTAACCACCTCTCCATCCCCCGCAGCCACAGTGCAGGCTGCATCGACCACAGAGAAAGCTAAACCTGAGGAGCCCCAGGAACCGAGGCTGCAGGTCATCATCCAGGTCGAAAGTGTTGAGGCCACTGTAGTAGCGGATGAGGATGTGAGCTTTGGTACACATGTGACTTGAGATGACATGCCAGAAAGCTTCTGCCCTAATGCTAGCTCACACAAGCAGCTATTTAAAGAGAACTACTTAAAGGAGTCAGAATTACATATTTTACATTTCTTTTTTAAAATTTGGTTTTATTGGTACATCATTAGATACACATAACGAAGGAGTTTGTTCCTGAACATCATAGTCTCACTGTTTCTTTCTTCCCATGCCCCTCCCTGCCCTTCAGCCCCTCCTTATTTACAAAAACTTTGCTTCCAATTATTCCTTCCATTTTTTCTTTTCCCTTCCTTCCTCCCCACGTCCCTTGTTGCCCTTCACATTTGAACATTTTATTCCTATTTCCCAATATCTAGTATACATTTTGGTTTTTATTTACACTTTCAGTTTCTAACACCAAAGAAATCATGCAAGACTTAAACATGTGTGTCCAATTTATTTCAGCTTATGGTTTCGAGGTGCATCCACTGACCTAGAAATATCTCCAGTTTACCCTTGCTTATGGCAGAATAGTATTCCATTATGTTTTTAAAAATCTTCATCCATCAGTTGATGGGCATTTGGGTTGTTTCCAAGATTTGGCTATGATAAACTGTGCCGCTGTAAACATGAGTGTGCATATATTGCTGTGGAATGAGGCTTTTAATGCTTTTGGGAAGATACCAAGAAAGGGAACAGCTGGGTCGAATGGAACTTCTAATGCTAGTTTTTTGAGTAATCTCCAAACTGATTTCCACAATGGCTGTACCAGCCTACACTCTCACCAACAGTGGAGAAGAGTTCCTTTCTCCCCCACACCCCAGCCAGAATTTGTGATGGAATGGTTTCTTGATAATAACCATTTTTTCTGGGGTGAGATGGAATCTCAGTATTGTTTTCATTTGTGTTTCTTGAATGCCCAGTGATGTTCAATATTTTTGCATATATTTATTTGCTCTTTTATTTCTTTATCTGAGAAGTCTGTATTCATCTCAGATACCCATTTTTGGATTTGGTTTTTAAATTTGAGGTATCTGATATTTTTTAGTTCTTTATATGTTCTCAATAGGAATCCTTTGTCTGTGGAACAGCTGGCAAACATTTTTCCCCCACTGTGGGTTGTCCTTTCACTCTGTTGATTTCTTTTGCTATGTAAAAGCCTTCTAAATAAGATGAGATCCCAGATATTGATTCTCGGTGATATTTCCTATGCAACTGGATTTTATTTATAAAGTCATTGCCTACAACAATGTCTTCAAGAGTTCCCCCTATTCTATCTTCCAGCAAATTTAATGTTTCTGTTTTAATATTTAACCCATTTTGATTTTAGTTTAGTGCATGATGAAAGAGATGGGTCTTGTTGTAACCTTCAGCATCTGGAAAGTCTATTTTTCCAGCACTATTTGTTAAAGAGGTTATCTTTCTTCCAGTGAAGGTGTTTGGCTTCTTTGTCAAAGATAAGATGGTTGAATTTCTTTGGAGTTCTTTCTGCATCTTCTAATCTGTTCCATTGATCTCTAGGTCTGTGTTTGTGCCTGTACCATGTTGTAGTATAATTTCACATCAGGGATTATGACGCCTTCTGCCTTGCCTTTGACGCCCAGAATTGTTTTTACTATTTAGGTCTCTTCTGGCTCCAACTGAATTTTAGGAATATTTTCTCTAATTCTGTGAGGTATGCTGTTGGAATATTGATTGAGATTGCATTAAATCTGTGTAACAATTTTGGAAGTATGGCCGTTTTCACAATATTGGCTTTTCCTACCCAAGAGCAAGGGATACATCTCTGTTTTCTGATATCCTCTTCAATCTCCTTATTCAGAGTACTGTGGCTTTCAATGTAGAGGTCTTTTACTTCCTGTGTTAGATTTATCCCTAGGTATTTCATTATTTTGAGTGCTATTGTGAAAGATGTGGTTTCCCTGAATTTTTACTCAGTGAATTTGTACTTTGTGTGCAGAAGGCTATTGATTTTTGTGTTTTGACTTTGAGTTAGTTACACTATGCTGAATTTGGCCATTAAATCTACAAGTATTTTGGTGGAGTTTCGAGGGTCTTCTATGTAAAGTATCATGTCATCCACAAATAATGATACTTTAACTTCTTCTTTTCGTCTCCTTATTCCTTTTATTTTTTCTTATCTATTAGATAAAAAATTGCTCCAGCTAATGTTTCCAGAACTATTTGAATAAGTGTGGTGAAGTGGACATCCTTGTCTTGCTCCTAATTTTACAGTCATCTGCAGGAAGCATCAACCTGCTGAAACAAATTGTGCACCCAGCAGTTAGACTAGCTCCCTGTGAGTGCGTAACATTTCATAGGGTTCAATTACAGTTTACTTCACGGGGCCACCTGGTCTAAAGCAAAGCAGCTGGTCATGCCTTACCCCAGTTAAACTGGTTTCCTGACGAATTTTAGCTTGTCTTTTTAAGAGTGTGGTAGTTTTCTGTCACTGCTACAAAATACATGAGATCACGATCTTCTAAGGAGGAAGGGTTTATTTTGCCTCACACTTTCAGAGGTTTGGTTTGTTGTCCCTGAGTCCCACCTTGGGCCTGTGGCACTGAGTACACTGTGGTGGGAGCACATGGCTGATGGGCTCACTCACCTCACCACCATCAGTAAGGGAAAGGAGACGCAGAAGGGGCCAGGGTCTCCATGTCCCCCAAGGTCAGGTCCCAGTGACCTAACTTCCTTCCACCAGGCTCCAGCTCCTAATGGTTCCACCATTTCCCACTTAAAATCAGGAGCTGGGAAGGAAACTTTTAACACATGTTGGGAGACATTTGAAGTAGTCAAGAATACGATTTATTTTTTCCTGCTTTGCTGGTCAATTGAGGTTTCCAAGAAGTGTATTTTCAACAAACATCTCAGGCATCAGACCCTTACTTTTTCCATAAAGGCCCATCATGCTCAGTGAGAACAGATATGAGCCTGGGCATTCCTTCTTTCAGTAAAGTTTTAATGTCTTCATAAACCTTTGCAGACCAACGAAGAGAAGCGCTACTGAACCAGTAAGAACCTCCACAGATACTAGTGGGTACCTGGAAATCCTAGTGGCACTTGCCATCATAGGGAAGTAAATTTCCCAGTCTTCTCCAGCTCTAACACCTCTGAACTGTACCCCTTTATTATGGGTGGTGGCCCTGTCTGGGGGTTATTTTTGGCATATGCCATGTGCCTCTGACTCACCTTTTGAAAAATCTGTACTCCATGAAGAGTGGCATCTCTCCAATATATGTCTTGTCACATCTTCCATAAGATGCACAGAGACAAGGACTTTACCTTGTTATTACAAATCCACCCTTCTTTCATGTGTCTGTAGTAAGCATCCTGAGAGCAGTTAGGATGCTACTCAAATCCCCATTCCTCAGCCCTTTCCAAGTCCTCAGGGGACCACAGGCAATATTTTGTCAAATCCATATCAAGAGTCAGGAACATTATTCAGGACTTAGCCTGGGTAGGCCTGGCCGCTAACTTCATAGCCTGATCTGCTCCATTATTTCCTTGTGATGTCTAACACAAGTCTGATCCTCGTGTCCTGAATAATGGACAGCAGACAGGTATTTGGGCTCCAGGATAACTTCTAACACATCTAGGACCTTGTTAGCATGCTCAGTTTCTTTTCATATGTGGCTAGCAGTCCTCTCTCTAAATGGCTCCACGAGGTCAGGCGCATAGCTCAGTGATAAATCACATTCACAGATTGCATGAGACCCTGGATGCATCTCCCAGAACCACCACCAGTGACAAAAAGGATTGCATGGGTACAGACCATGGGAAACATGTGCTTGCTATTCTTTAGTTCTTACCTAGATGAGGACACTTGTCAGAG